GGTCCTCTCGAAGGTGGGCCCCTCCTCGGTCGTTTCCCCAGGCTCCATTCTCCTCCCTCATCAGCCACAATCCCTCCCCACCTACCACACCCCTTCCCCACTTCCCACTTCCCTTCCACACAAACCACCCCCAGCCTCGAGCTCGGAAACCCGGGTTCTGGGCCTCTGGGGCTTTTCCTGGAGACCTTAAGCCCCACCTCGCTGCCATCTGTCGAATTTCTTTTTGCCTTCGCCCCAAAGCCCCTTCACTGGTATCTCCCGTCCATCCCCAAGCCACCCTCCGCCGCGGGGTCCTGGCTGCCCCCTCTTTTGCCCCATCAGCCTCCTCCGGAGACCCTCCCACCGCCTCCCCACCCGCCCGATCCTCCGGGTGCCCCGGCCCTCCGCCCTCGGCGGGGCGCCGGCCCCACTCCGCGCCCCGGCGCCTGGCCCGGCGGAGCCCGCAGTGGGGGGACCCGGCCGGGAAAATAACAAATGGAGGCGGCGGCGGCGGGAGGGGAAGTGGGAGGGTGGGGGTGGGGGTGGGGAGCCGCGGGCCCGGGCCCGGGCGTGCCCCAGGCCCGCGCGGCCGCAGGTCTTACCTGGCTGGAGCTCGGGACGGCTGGCTGGCTCCGAGCGGGATGCGGGGATCCGGCGCCTCCGGGGGGCGGCGGCGGCCGCTCCCCCGCCCCCCTCTCCTCTTCCCGCTTCAGACGCCGCCGCGACGCCGGCGGCCGCGGCCCCGACCCGCTCGGAGGGCGGCCCCCATCCCCCTCTCCCCCACCCCGGCCCCGATCGCCCGCGGACCCCGAGCGATCCCGACCCCGGCTCCGGCTCCGGCTCAGCCCCTCCCCGGGCCCGCCGCCGCCGCCGCCCCGCGGCCCCCGGAACGCCCGGGCCGCGCCGCCCGCCCCGCCGCTCCGCTCGCGCCCGCGGCCCTCCGCGCGGCTCTGCCCGGCTGTCCGCCGCCGCCCGCGCCCGCCTCGCGCGGCCCGCACTCGCGCTACCCCCGGCCCCCTCGGAGGCCTCCGCCCGCGGCCCCCGCCCCTTGGCGGGCCGCCGTCTCCCTCGCCCCCTCCCGCCCCTCCCCGCGGCCAGCGGCGCCCCCCACTGGGTCCCGGCCCCCGGCCCCCGGCGCCGGCCCGACCCCCGGCTGCGGGCGGGCTGCGCGGCGCGTCCGGCGACTCGCACAGGAAAGCGGCCGGCGAAGGGAGGGAGCTCGGGAGAGGGGGATGGGAGAAGGGAGGAAGAGGGAGAAGGAGGGAGCGCGGAGGAACGGGGAGAGAGGGGCCAGGAGGGAGACGCGAGGGAGGGAGAGCCAGGCAGGCTGCGAGGGGGGAGGGGGGCGGGAGAGGGGAGGCGCCGCGCGAGTTGGCCGCGGCCGAGGCCGAGGGGGCCCGGGGCGCGGGGAGGGGTTCGCGGGGGCGGAACGTGGGGAGCCCGCGGGCCTGGCGCTGGAGAGGGCTAGGGAGGGAGGGGCTGCGGGTTGTAGGGGTAGATGTGGGAGGCAGAAGTTTGAGGGCACGGGGGTCTGTGGCGGAGGTGGGGCGGCAGGTTGCGGGTACGAGGCCGAGATTGGGGCAATGGGGTGAGATTGGAAAGATGGAGCTGCAAGGGGGCTTTCGGGGCAATGAGGTGTGTGATAAGAGATGAAAGCAGCCTGGGTGACAGCGTCCGTGGCAGACATGTCGGGCGGGGGAAGGTTGGGGAGGCAGTTATGACAGAGAATAGGATGGAAGTTTGGGGTTAGAAGGAGGGGAAGAAATTGAAAAAAAAAAAATAGAGACACATATAGGAGGCTGAGATTTCTGGAAGACGGTAGAATTTGAGGGTAACGTGTCAGGAAAAGAAAGGGAAATATAAGAATTTGGGGGTGACGAAGGCAAGCTGGAGAGAGACAAGTTCAGAGACATCAGCTTGGAGTGAGAAAGGAAAGCATGAGGAACCTTAAGAAGGGATAACAGAGGTGGAGCCAGATGCATTTTCTAGGGGTCCCTGGGGCTCTGGGTGGGGTGGGGGGGTGGAAGACACAGGGGTGGCTGGGCTCTGGAGGTGAGGGGTTTCCAAGAGAGCTGAGGAGGGTTTTGATAGCAAGACAAAGTAGTTAGAACGGAGTGGGCGTGGAGGGGTTGGGAGTGGGTAAAGAAGACTGGATGGAAATGTAAGATCAGCACGGTCTTTGGTGGTCATATGAAAGAGGGAAGGTCGGTGATGCAGAAGACAAGAGAGTGGAAGGGAAAGCAGGAGAAGGAAATGATAGAAATGGGGGCAGGCGAGCTCCAGTGTAGGGAAGAGATTACTTTATAGGAGTGGGACACCATGCTTGGGCCCCCTGTCTGGCAGTGTCTCCTTTGAAGTCATCACTGATGGTACTTTGGGTCCCAGGGGAGGAGTGAGGTGGGGATTCTGGCTCAAAGCATAGCCAGATCCCTAGGTGCCCTCATCCCCCAATCCCAATCATTCTAATGTGGAGACAGTCCCCACCACAGGCCTAAGGCTCTTTCTTCTCCTCCCGCGGCTCTCCAGGCAGCCTCTGACACTGTCAGTCTGCCAGCCATTCCCAGTCTTCAGCCTTGAAGCCAGCACCCCCAACAGTCCAGCACCAGTGTCTTCTGGGCTGGCTCCCTGGCCCTACACTAAACTGCAACATCTCCCAGGACAAAGGACGCCAAGACACTGGTTGGTTTTTGGCAGCTGAGAGTGGGAAGGCCAGAGAATGGGAGGGAGGCAGGCTGGGAAATAGGAAGAGCTGGAGCTGGAGTTTGGATTGGGAGCCCTAATAGTTCTCCAGATTTGGGGTGGGGGTAGGATGTGTGTGAGGCCCGGACAGCCAGAGGCCAAGGGTGGACCCTGAATGGCAGGATCCCCCCCAACCTTCTGGAAAGGAAGGAGGTCGGCTCTGTAGCAACTCAGTAGATTTTGTCTCATATTTCCTTGGGCCAGGCTCAGCCAAGTTCTAGAAATACCCAAAAGCTCTAAAAAGATTCTAAAGCTCTGGGGACCCTGAACAAGAAGGCTTCCTTGGCCTAGGAAGGAGTCACCACTCTTCAATCTCTTGAATTGGCTGGCACTTTACCACCCCATGCCCACCTTCCTTATTCTTTAGGGCCTTCAAAAGGCCAGGCCAGCTCCCTATCTCCCCCCACCCCCCAATGCTCTCTCCCATCCCAGTATCCTAGGATAGCTCCTGCCCCTAAATCCCCACCTCCCTACTTTGCTCCAAGACTCCTCCTACCCCTCACCCACCTCCCTATTACATTTCTCCCTCCCTCCCTCCCTCCTTCCCTCTCTCTCTCTCCCCCCACTTCCCAGTTCAGTCTCCTGCTGGGCCCTGGCCCGGGCCCTTTCCAATTCCCTTCCAGGTTTGGTTTTTTTGTTGTTGTTACTGATTTGTTTGTTGTTTTTTGGGGGGGGTGGGTTGCTTGTTTTTCACCACTAAGGGATCAATTAGGATGATGGCATATCTGAGCCTAAAAGAAAAATTTAGACACAGGTAGGAATAGAGGATGGGAGAGTCAGAAGAAAAGCCAGGGCCTACCGCTTCCAGTTCCTCTCCTACCTGAGGGCCAGCTGACAGCTCAGCTTCAGGAAGCACCACACACACACCACCACCGCTACCATCCCTCACCCCAGCTCCCTCTCTGGCCCCAGCCCCCCACAACCCACTGGTCTCCAGGCAACGGCACAAAGGGAAAGTGGAGAGAAGGGCCTAGGAAGCCCTGGCAGGGCTGGCGTAACCCTATCCACCCAGTACCTGGGTGGTGGTGGTGGAGAGGGGAGCATGGCTGCCAGAAAAGGTGACTTAGTAAGGAGGGAGGAAAGGCCAGAGGTTAGGGAATGTGGCTCCCACCAGAATAAGCCTGGCCAGGCCAGGAGGTACTAAAGAAAGGTGAAAATAATGCACCCTAGAGAAAAGAAGAATATAATGCACCAAGAGGTACGGAAAAAGTAGCGTGCCCCAAGGGAAACAGAAAAGGCGCCAGGAGAGAAGGGAAAGATGAGATGCCCACACCGAAGCACTGAAACGAAGAGGCACAGGGCAGAGGGGGCAAGAAGTTCTTCCAACTGAAAATGGAGGAGGTGGCAGGGATGCTGGAAGGACAGGGCAGAGAAATGGGTCCTGCCCATGCAGGACTGGAATCTTCTAGTCCTGGAGCTGGGTAGGATGGCAGAGGAAGTCCAGGACCAGAACTCCGAATAGAAACAGAGTGGGAGGCTCACAAAGGGAACAACCTTGAAATTCCTCCCACCCCCCTTTAGCCAGACTCCCGTATGTTGTCCTGCAGAACCTTGCCTCCCTCTAGTGGCCACAGCTTCCCACAGCCCCTAGTGTCCAAAGCACTGAAGGGGGTCGTCGCCCCTGCTTGGTTTCTGGGTTCCCATCTCAATGCTGGGGCTCCATAGGAGCTGAAGCGTTGTGTGTCTCCAGCCACACACTAGCACCCTCCTTGAAGGCTGACCCGACTGGAGGGAGTGGACCCTGTTCAGTAGTTCAGTCTCCAGTTTGCTGGAGGACTGTTTCCTCAGGCCCTCCTCTCCATCCCCTAGTACCACGCTTCCCTGCCCGGCCCCCCACCTTGCAGGGAGTAATAGCCATGCAATGCTGTTTCACCCCAGAAGCAGACAGGGTTTTGTTTGGGAGAGCCCCTGGTATGGGAGCTGCTCTAGTTCACAGATTTATCCCTTCTTTGGTCAAGGCCCTTTGGGAACCTGAAAACACTTTGGACACCTTTCCCCCAAAATGCACATAAGCACAACATTTTTTATAATTTTAATAATTCTTACATCAAGTTAAGAACTCCTAATTCACCTGGGGCCAAGCTTGTTGCTGAGAAGGCAGAGGCAAGGCGGACCTCACCTGGCCGGGGTGGCGTAGGCAATGCCGTCTGCTGCCACCTTTGTTCTATTTGTCTTCCTCCTCCTGCGCCTGTGCCCTCCCCAGCTCTGCTATCCAGTGTCACCGACTGCCTTCCCGGTGCTCCCCTCACACGGACTACAGTGAGACTCCTCAGACACAACAATGCACTGTGATTCAGACTTTAATGGTGGTGCTCATTTCAGTGCCACAGAGGTGTGGAGCGTGGCACAGGGAGTGAGGCGTTGCTCTGGTGCAGCTGAAGGAGGAACGGGGAAGGTAGAGCCGGGAAGAGGTCTGGGGAAGAGCCCCCCCACACACACAGTGCACAGCCCCACCTCTGGCCCCAGCCAGGCTTCAGAGAGGGGCTGGTACACACAAAGGGACCGCCAGCAGGGCCCTTTCCTGTTAGCCTTGGCATTCCAGCAAGACTTCCCATCCCAGGCCATCTCGGAATCTATAGCCACATGAAATACAGACACTAGTGCCCCCACCTCCAGTCAGGCCAGTTTTTAGCCTTGGAGTTATGGGGAAATGATTAATTAATTAACAGGATGGATGAAAATAAATAAACAAACAAACACACTGAAACCTTAGGCCAGACACAACCAGCAGCCAGCACCTCCCTCCACCTCCACGCCACGCAGTGCCTGGCTCATCCGCAACAAGAACGCACGGAACCGACACAGATCACAAGTGACAAGTGGCCCCTCTCCAGACGCCTCAGCCACCAGCCCTGATGCTCCCATCGCAGACCCTGCTCATCCTGCCATGGACCCCCTTGTGATCCTCGGTCCTGTGGCCAGTCTTCGAGGAGGGAGAACGGGAAGGAAGGGGCAGTGAAGAGTGTGGAACCCGAGGGGGAAAGCAGAGACAGCAGGGGTGGGACAAGCCCAGGAGCAGCGCAGCAGGTCAGCGGGGTGTCCGAGGTGAAATACCGCAGAGCAGGACGGGAAGGGGCTCCGGGGTGGTGGGAGGGGGTCCCAGGCTCCAGGCAGGCAGAGGGATCACAGCACGCTGGGGTTGCGGAAGTTGTGTCCCGCGAAGCGAGCTTCATCTCCCAGCTCTTCCTCAATTCTGAGAGAGATGAGTCGGAAAGGAAACGTCAAGTAGGTGGCTGCAGGAGGCCCCGGGTCTCCAGGCGCCTCACAAGGCCTGCTCCCGAGGCCCAGCCCCAGCGTCGGCGTTCCCTGGCTTTCCCATGTGACCTGCAGGATTCATCCAGCAGGCCACCAGTCAACCCATCTTTCGGATCTTGTCTGGATTTCTACTGGTCGGGGCACTGGAGATGGGACAGTGGGCAAACAGCTTTTACCCCTGAGCCCTGGCTCCCAGTCCCCAGGTTCCCTCACCTCATGAGCTGGTTGTACTTAGCCAGACGCTCAGAACGGCACGGGGCACCAGTCTTGATCTGAAACACCCAGAGAGACAAGCAGCTCAGCAGCTGCCCCTTCATTCCTTGAAAGGAAACTTACAGTCCCATGAAATTCCCCTGATACCTTCAAACACCTGGAAGGAGACACCCTTCTGAGCCTAGAACCCACCAACTGCACAAAGATCTCCTTTGCACTTACCTGACCTGTGCACAGCCCCACCACCAGGTCTGCGATGAACGTGTCCTCAGTCTCTCCTGAGCGATGACTCACCATGACCCCCCAGCCATTCTCCTGGGCCAGCTTGCACCTGTATGGATACATCAGCACTGACCGCTAGCCCCTCACCCTGGACACTCTCTTTCCAGCCCCAATATTGGTCTGTGTTAAGAAATAATCTGGCCCTGCCTGGTGTGGCTCGGGGGATTGATTACTGGCCTGCAAACTGAAAAGTCACCTATTCGCTTGCCCATCAGGGCATGCGGGCCAGGTTGGGGGCAAGAGGCAACCAATTGTATCTCTTGCTCATTAAGTTTCTCTCCCTCTCTTTATCCCACCCTCCCCCTCTCTGAAAACAAACAAACAAATAAATAAATAAAATGGAGAGCCTTGGACCCCTCCCTTAGAAAAGAAGTATCTGGAGGGAAGCTGCCTGGGAGGGGAGCAGAGGATCAGTGATGGAGAGAGCAGAGCTGAGGGCTCTGAAGGTGACGCCAGGTTCCCTGTTTGCTTCAGCGTCAATGGGCAGGATTAGACTTACAGCCCTTGCAGGAGGGGTCCTGGGGAACAGGGGCTGAGCAGGAGAGAACCAGCAGGCACTCACGCTTGGATGGCTTCAGTGACCGAACCGATCTGGTTGACCTTGAGCAGCAGACAGTTGCAGGCCTTTTCTTCCACTGCCCGCTCAATACGCTTTGGGTTGGTCACTGTCAGGTCGTCACCCACAATCTGTATCCCTACATTGGCTGTGAACTTCGACCAGGCAGCCCAGTCATCCTGGTCGAAGGGGTCCTCAATGGAGACCACTGCGGGGAGAGTGGTGAAGGGGCTGTTGACCCTCCCTGGGACTCCGTGCCAGGCGGGCATGATTCCCTGAAATGGCCGGATCCCCCCGCCAACTGAGCCTGCCCCTCTTGCTCCACCCCCATCCCCAAGTAAGCCTGCCCCAGCTGATCCTTACCTTGATTCATTCATAAAGCTTTCAAAAAATAAGGGTTCAGAATCTCTCTCACGACCTACCTGCATTTCCATATGTTCACAACCAGGCAGCCCTTCCTCATGACTAATCAAAATCCTTCATTCTGCAACTCATATCTGAAGCCTCTGGTAGACCCGAAGGCTGATTCAGTTCCACATCAGCCTTCTGTTCACACATCGCTCCCAGATCCACTCAGCATCCCCAACTTGATCCATCATAAACGCTGAAATGTGCTTGCTCCCCACCAGGTCCAGACATGCTCTCAACATCCCTGGTTTCTTCCAAAGCCTTCCCCTTGAACCCAGTAGCTCCAGAGCACATGACTTGCATCAGAATCCAAAGCAGAGGGGGCAGACCCATCCCAGGTACCTCCTCACTTACACCACATACAAAGCCTTGGCTCTGCAGGAGGCTTCCGCATCCCATCCCTCCACTGGGCACCTGAGTCAGCACCCAACAAGGTCCAGAGTTGCCCCAACACATCCCCGCTGGCCCCCCTGCCGGCCCCCCTGCCCTCCCCCCACACCCCACCTTGCTCTCACCAGGATAGTCCCTGACAAAGTCCTGGTACAGGGACCCCAGCTGGTCGCCAGTGATGTAGCGGGAAGGGTCAGCAGGAGACTTGAAATCCAAGTCGTATTTGCCGTCACGATAAAACTCTGAGGCAGCGACATCCATGCCGATGACGATCTTTTCCGTGTAGCCCGCCTTGTCAATGGCTTCCTTCACCAGTTCCAAGGCTAGAGGTGAAACGCAGTGAGATTATTAGCAGGAAGGGCAGATAAGGAGGAATTCAGGAAAGGAAGAGATTAAGGGCAGTGGTAGAGGGTTTTCTGCGGGGACGCAGCTAAGATTCTCCCTGGGGTTATCTTCAGGTCTGGAAGGAGTAGGCCATCTTCCAGGAAGGCAGAGGAATAGACTTATATTAATAAAAGTGCTTTTTAAATAGCTGTCACTTATTGAGGGCTATGTCACCTAAGTACTTCACACATATGATCTCACACAATGAGCCCTGGCTGGTGTGGCTCAGTAGATTGAGTGCCAGCTTGTGAACCCAAGGGTCGCTGGTTCAATTCCCAGTCAGGGCACATGCCTGGGTTGCAGGTCAGGTCCCCAGTAGGGAACATGTGAGAGCCAACTGATTAATGTTTCCCTCCCTTCCCTCTCTCTAAAAATAAACAAACAAAATCTTTAATCTCCACAATGATGCTATGAAGTAGATGTTGTTAGTATTCCCATCTTACAGATAAGAAAGACAAAGCATGGAGAAAATAAGTGAGAAAGATCATCAGCCAGTAAGTCTTCACGTCAAGATCCAAACGCAGGCAGTTTGGCCTCAGAACCTTAACTCTTAGCCACTGCGGTATTGTTTCTACTCACTATGCAGTTTCTCCCCTGGCAGAGAAAAGTTAAGGGTCCTTGGGGCCTCAGAAGTTGGGGTGAGATGGGATAGATTTGAAGTAAATTACCTGGAGTTTGGTGTGTCTCATCAAACTGAGAACCCTTTGGGGTTAAAGGCTGGGATGGATCCCACAGGTGACCCAGATCACCTTCCAGCTCTCCCAGGAGTTCCCGAGAGAATTTACAGTTGCTAAGGAACCCGGCTGGGCGGGTGACGACTGTTCTCCTAGGCCTGCATGTGAATTCGGCAGGCCTTCTGGAAGCCACTCCAAGAAGTGCCACCTCGGAAAGGTGGCAGGAGTCAAGGACCATCCACCCAAACTCCTCAGGATGTGGCGAAGCGTGCGCCCCCCTCCCCCACTCTACTGATGGCCCAGAGCTGGGAGTAGGGCTCCTGGTCTCACCTTCACTGTTCTCCAGGATATTGGGGGCAAAGCCACCCTCGTCTCCCACATTGGTGGCATCCTTGCCATACTTGTCCTTGATGACCCCCTTGAGGGTGTGGTAGACCTCCGCCCCGAGTCGCATGGCATCACGAAAGCTCTCCGCGCCCACTGGGAGGATCATGAACTCCTGCATGGCCAGCTTGTTGCCGGCATGAGAGCCTCCATTGATCACATTGAAGGCCTGGGAGCCACGGGACAGAAAAGCCACTGAGCATTTGCCTTTCCGGCCCTGGGAGTGTTCGCCCAAGATCCCAAACTTCCCCCAGCTTCCCAGCCTCTGAGCCTCATGTCCCCGTCCTTTCTCTTTAGTCCTTTAGTCGCCCCAATCCCCTTGCCTTCCGTTAGTCTTCCCAAGGTTCCATGCGCCCCCTGCCCCCACCCTGGGAAAGGCACAGAGGTGGCGCGGTGCTCACCGGCACAGGCAGGATGAGGTCTGAGTTCCCAGCCAGCTGAGCAATGTGGCGATATAGGGGCAATTCCCGCTCAGCTGCCCCTGCCTTACACACAGCCAGGGACACACCCAGGATGGCATTGGCGCCAAACTTGGCTGGGAGATTATAGAGAAAAGCACTGAGCAAAAATATCCCCTTCCCCATCCAGCCCTTGCCTCCACCCACAGTTTGCAAAGGAGCCAGGAAAGGAGACGCCCCCTCCCTCCTCTCCTGTAACATCTCATCCATTTTCCCCTGAAATAGCTCGTCAGTGTCAGTTGCGGGGAGGTGACAGGAAAGGGCAGAGAGCTGCACATGTTTCTAAACATCCCAAGACCAGGCTGTCTCATGCCAACCCGCTTCTCTTCATGCTGCAAAGTACATCCTCTGTCTGGTGTCCCTCTGCCACCACCACTGCATTAAACTCATCTTCTGCTCTGATTCTGGGGGCGGAAGGGAGAAGTCCTTCCTCAGGAAGCCCCCACAGCACTGGCCCCCTCCGTTCTCTGGCTGCTCCATACATCCCCATCCTCAGCCTCCCCACTTTTTCCCTGGCCCCCGCTTACATTTGTTCTCAGTCCCATCCAACTGCAACATCAGATTGTCCAGCTTCTCCTGCTCCACCACTGAGAGACCCTGCAGGCAGAGCCACCATCACGCAGGGCCAGATGGAGCTGGGCCCTCAGACACAGGGCCCCCCTTCGCACAGGCCCACATCCGGCCAGGGTCCAACCGGGTTCTTGTGGCAGTGGTCTGTCGGAATCTGGGGATCTGGGGACCTGAGCCCTCACGGGAGCAGAGACCAGTAAGGGGTCATCTTCCCACCCTTCCCTTGGTAACCATGATTCCCAAGGGGTGGGCCTTTCTCCCCTGCCCCCACTCCTCCCCTGACCCAGGATGCCTTCCAGGACCCTGGTCCTGCCTCCCCCAGCAAAGAGTGAGCCTCACTGAGCTGATGAGGGCTGGCGCAATGATGGTGTTGATGTGGTCCACTGCCTTCAGGACACCTGGGGAGAGGCAAAGAGGCCAGGCTGGGTCAGGCCAGAGGGGCCAGAAGAGAAAAGGCAGGGAAGGAGTGCAAGCAGAGGCTTGGGGACTGAGTCAGGTGGGAGTATTAGGATGAGGGGTGAGAGAGCTTGGAAAAGAGAGAGGGCCTCACCTTTGCCTAAGTACCGCTGTTTGTCCCCATCCCTTAGCTCCAGGGCCTCATAGATCCCAGTGGAGGCCCCACTGGGCACTGCAGCCCTGAAAAGACCTGGGAGAGGAACATGGAGTGAGGAGGAGGAGAGAAAGACAGTACAGGAACAGGGGTCCCATTAGCACCCCAGGTCTAAACTCCTGCCTGTCACATCCAGCCCTCTCCCTACACAGCTCCTAATACAGACACACACAGAGACACACACACGGCTCCCTGATGCGCACACACACACACACACACACACACACATACACTGCTTCCTAGCAAACACACAGCTCCCTAATACACAAAACACAGCTCCCTAATACATACACTACATGCTGCTCCCTAATCCACACACATACACACACACACTGCTCCCTAGCACACAATACTGTTCCCTAACACACACACACACTACTCCCTAGTACACAGGCGTGCAGCTCCCTAACGCACAACTACTCTAATACACACACACTGCTCCCTACCACTCACTCGTGTGTGTGTGTGTGCACATGGCTCCCTAACACACAACTATTTTAATATATACACAGCTCCCTAACACACACATGCACAATGCTTCCAGGCACACACACACAGGCACGCATTCAGCTCTCTAATACACAACTACACTCTGACACACACAGTGCTCCCTAATGCACACAAGCACACACAAAGGCAGATGCACAAGCAAAGGCCTCCTCCTCCACCCCACTGAGGCTCTGAAGTCATGTGTTCACACACACACACACACACACACGGGCACGTTCACAAACATGCAGCGGCAGGGCATGCATCACACACTGAACTAGAACACGGAGGCCTGTGTAGTCTAGCTCCCCTAGACAACGGGACCCACCCCCCACAATCCAGGCTGTGGGCCTGGCCCAGCACCCCACCCCTGCTGGGAATCAAGGAAACTTCCCATCCCAGGCCTGGGCAAACCCAGCACTGGGGGGTGCGGTTGCGGTGGGGGTTGAGGGGCTGTGCTCTTGTCCAGGCCGCGCTCAGTACCTTTGGCCGTGTGGAGATCCACCTCCACGGTGGGGTTTCCACGGGAGTCCAAGATCTCCCGGGCCCAGATCTTCTCTATCGACATGATGGCTGGGATCTCCTTGGGTGGAAGGGAAGTGAGGAGAAAGGTAAGAGGCTTAGAAGGGCGGGGCCTGAGATCAGTGGGAGGGGCCAGAGGCTGGTAAGGATGGGAAAGAGGTTACTGCAGTGGGTGGGGGGTGGGGAGGAGCAGGCTGCTGCCCTCGGCAGTGGAGGCTGTGGAAGGGATTCCCCCCACCCCTGCCTCGGGGAGAGGAGAAGGTCACTGCAGTGAGGAAGGGGAAGTCACTGCAGTGGGAGGCGGGGTGACACCCAGCATCGAGGTGGGAGGACACCGCAGTGAGGAGTCGAGGGGCCCAGCAGGGGTTCCCTCATCTCCTCAGCCGCTTCGGCAGCCAGCTGGTGGGGTTCCCCCAGATCTCCTCCGAGCGGAATGGCTGCCAGGTTTGCCTTTCTCGTTGAAGCCAAGAAGAGGATGGGTAGTCTAAATAGCCCAAGCCTCTCCTGCCCAGCCCCTCCCCCGATGCCACCCAACTCAGCCCAGGCCCCAGCCCCTGTCCGCACAGATGTGCAGCAGAGAAGTCAGGCCAGGGTCCTGGGGATGCTCGCCATCCCAGGTGTCGCCGGGGAAGGGAGGGGGAGGCGGCAGGGTTGGGCCGGTCCTCCAGCTGCCGCTGGACAAATTCCCCGCTCGCTGCCCCGAGCGGGGCGCCGTGGGGCGGAGTGGGAGAGAGGCAGAAGTCCGGGGATGCTGCGGAAGGCGGAGAGCAGCCATCTCCCCCATGCCAATCCGAGAGGATGTGCGCGGATAAAAACGCACGGCCGGGGGAGACCACGAACTTCGTGTCGACGGAACCCGAGGCGGAGCGCGGAGCGTGGGGAGAGGGGGAGGCCAGGGTGCAGGTGTGGCGCCCAGATGAGGAGGGGGTGACAGCCAGAAACCCGGAGGAGTGGTCCGGGCAGGCGGGGAAGGAGGGCGCGGGGGAGGCGCGGGTGACAGCAGGTGCGCAGCGCCCGGGGGAGAGATGCGCGCGGGCCCGAGCAGCGGGGCGGGGGCGGGGCGGCCAGGCGATGCGCAGGAGGGGTGCAGGGGCCCGGCCGGGGCTTCACCTCGGGGCTGCAGACTCAGGCGGCGACGGCGGCGGCGGGGCAGTGGCGGCAGCGGCGCAAAGCGAGCGGGAGTGGCGGCGGCGACTGCGGCTCCCGGGCGGGCGGGCGGCGGACGACGGACGGGGGAGGCGCCGATAGGGCCGAGCGGGCGCATGTGACCCGGAGCCCCCGATGAGTCAGGAGCGCGGATGGAGGCGCGCGTAGGAGCGCGGGTGGGGGGCCGACAGGGGTGCAGTGGGGGAGGGCTGGGGGCGACCTAGAGCCCGCCTCTCCCGGCGCCCACGCGAGCTCCTGCCCACTTCCCGACCCCCCGGGAAGTAGCAGGCACAGGCTCACCGAGGAATCTGCGTCCTGAAGCCGCTACAGCTCGGGAAGCCCCCGACAGACTCCCCATCTCAGAGACCCGGTCAGACACAAGAGCATCAAAATGTCTCTTTATTGGAACCAGAGCTGTTCTTGACCCCGCAGCCCGCCCCGCAGCCCCTCTGCGGCCAGCTCTACCCGCATCCCCTGGGCCGGTCCGGGCTTGGCTCCTACCAGACCTGCCTGAAGGGTGCCGGCTGCCCGGCTCTCGGCAGAGCTCAGGCCCTCCGACCCCGCTGCCCAGGTGCCCACAGGGTCTGGGCTGCAGGAGGTGATGAATCCCCAGGCCTGGGGCAAGAGAGGGCGTGCTCTGTCTCGGCATGAGGGTGTGCGGTGGTGGCCCCTGCTGACCGAGTCTTCTCAGGTCTTGGGGCCAGTACCTCTGATCCCCTGGAGGAAGAGGACAGAAATAAACCCTGTGGGCCCAACTGCATTCTCAGCGCTGCCTCTGCCCCCATCTCAAGTGCCCAGCGGCTCCACGTTCCTGGGCGCATCTCCTCGGGCTCTTGCTGCCTCACCCTGCCCTCCTTTCTTCCCCCAACCGTGTCCTGTTATTTTTAGCTTCGGATTTTTAGTGCAGGATCCTTCTCTTCCGCCTTCTCTGCTAGGCTTGGTTGCATTCCTCAGGCGCCAGCGACCACCTCCCCTCCCCCCCCAGTGTCTTGCCCCAGACCTGGCCCTTCCAGCTGGCCTTCACTCTAGGTCCGGTGTGGCTGTGCACCCCACACCAGCACCTCCGTCTGCCTCCTCAGTTCTTTTCACTCATGCTTCTGGCTTCCTGATGTATCTCCTAAGCCTTTTCTCAGCCCCAGGATCCTGGGTCCCGCTGGCTCTTTCTCCTCACTCTGAGACACCCCTTGACTCCCAACCCTGATCTCTCCCTGGGTGCTCCTTGCCTTTCCCTTCTTCACCCACCTCCTTCTATAGCAACTCCTTTCTCCCCCTACGTGCCAGGCCCTTGGCCTCCTCTTCCTGCCTCCCTGCCTCCATGCCGGCTTCCTTACTATCCTTCGAGGCCAGAAGAACTGCTGCTACGTCGGTGGCTACTCCGGATCCTCATAGTGCTCAAGCTCGGACTCCTGCTCCTGCTCCTGCTCCTCCTTCATCCTCTGACGAATCTCGTTGGCCTCAGACCGATCCTCCTCCTCGAAGAACTCCTTGTCCAGGCGTTCCAGCTGCGGCATCTGCACCAGGGCCTCCTGGCGGTAGTCGTTCTCGTCGGTGCACGGGTTGTCCAGCAGCACCAAGGCTCGAAGCTTGGGCAGGTCCCGAAGCTTGGCAAACTCCCGCAGGTTGCTTATTAGATTGCCCCTGCCAGTGTGGTCAGGAGGGGTTCGCTGGGGTTTGGAGGCCAGCTGCCAGGAGTGGGGTCTCTAGAGGAGTCTTCCCTGGGCTCCACTTTCCCTAGAAACACTCTCTGTATGGATGGGCCTGCCTAGCATTGACAAACTTGCTGCAGAGATGCTGTCCAGCCCCAATCCTGTCCTTTTTCTGCCCTTTGAGGAATCCCTACGTACCATATTCCATTCTATAATGTGTCATATTTATCTTTTGAAGCAGCAAAGCTAGGTCACAGCCCTGTCTTGCAGATGGGGAGCAGGAGGGAAATCTCCTTTGCAGGGACAGACTTCTGTGTCAATGACAACCAATCAGAGGTTGGAAGATAGGACTTGGGCCGGTGGAGAGGGAACTGAGACTGAAGCTCGAGGTGGTAGATGCTATGTTGGTGCTCCCCACCGAACGGAAGCTAGAGACAGGGATGAGCTGGGACCTCCCAGCCTAAAGAACAAACTTCATCTCTTAATATGTAGGCCTCATTGCACGGTATTCTGTGTTTATTTTCATGTTCGTGCTTCAAGCCTTTATAAAATCAGGTTTCAGTGTTTCACCTTATCTCAGCGGAGATGCCGAACCTCACGCCGCGTTTCTCACTGGGAGCACTGCATGCACGTTGTGCTGGACTGCCCTGTGCTTCGCTGGAGGGTGAGCAGCTTTGGCCCCAGAAGCACCTCCGAGTCATTGAGACAACGCAGCTCCCCAGCACTTACTTCCAAACCTCCCCAGTGAACAGTCACTGAGAAGGGTCCATTATCCCTGTTTAGACTATTAACAGGAAAACAGAAGTCCCTACAACCAACCAGACCGATGTGGCAGAGCTCATTAGCAAGAGATTGCTCCATGAATTAAGGTTGGAGTTGGGGTTCAAGGTGATACCATACCACTTCTCCCTACTTGGAGATTCTGTTTCCATTGCCAGCCTTGACTGAGGAGGTCCTGTTACTAAGGAGGCAGTTTCCTTACACCTTTGCTTAATGAACACATAAAATCCTCCCTCAGACAAAAGGGGCTGAGAGAAAATGCCCCTGACCCCTAGTGCCTTTCCATCTAGAGATTTCCTTTCAAAGATTTTTCTCTGCTCATATCTGAGCACATCTTGTGTGCTTGTGGGTTTTTTGTTTTGTTTTGTTTTGTTTTGTTTGTTTTTTATCAGTAAGGGGGCCTTCCAGGTGGGACTCGGGATAAGAGAGGCAGAAAATGGGAAGGGGACTTGGGGTCAAGAACATGGAGAAGCAGAGTAGAAACTTATGTGGCTTAGCACCAAAAAAAAATAGAACTGGAGCCAGTCTGAGTCTCTCCAGCACAGGGACCATCTGGGTTCCATTAGGTATTCCTGAAACGCAGCACAAGGCCTGATACATAGCAGGTTCTCCATAACTGTGGAGTGAATGCATAAGGATTCGGGGGGGGTCTCAGACTCTTAAGATCTTAGTGTTGCAATTATGGCTGAACGAAGAAGAAAGTAGGGAAAGGAGGGATAAGGATCAGGATGGAGGATGAGGTGAGAATCTTGGAGTGGGCTAGGATTGGGGGACTGGGGCCAGGGAAGAACACAGGGTCAAAAGATGCTCCTGGTCAGGTGTAGGAGCAAGGTGGGCCCTGGAGGGGGTGCATACCTCAGGTTGAGGTACTGCAGTGATTTCATTTCCTTGGAGAAGCCGCTCAGAGTTTCAATCTGGTTGTCTCGAAGGTGCAAGCTAGTGAGATTACTTAGGTACTCCAAGCCTTCCACCTTCTTCAGCATGTTCTGTGCCTAGACTCCAGGATATAGCAGATATATTGGGAGAGGGGAGAACGATAAGGAAGGAAGAGAAGTCAGAAAGATCTGCAGCCCTGCTGGTGTGGCTCAATGGATTAAGCACTGGACTGCAAACCAAAGGGTCACCAGTTTGATTCCCAGTCAGGGCACATGCCTGGGTTGCGGTCCAGGTCCCCAGTAGGGGTTGCAGAAGAGGCAACCACACATTGATGGTTCTCTCTCCCCCTCTCTCTAAAAATAAATAAATAAAATCTTTTGTAAGAAGAGAAAGAGATGCAGCAAAAGAGGAAATCTAAGAGGTAGATAGAGAGGGGTATAGGAAGGGAGTGGAAGGGGATAGAGATCGGTGATACAAATAAAGAAATCCAAGAAAAGCATGGCTGGTGTAGTCCAGTGGATTCAGTGCCTGCTTGCGAACCAAAGGCTCGGCGGTTCAATTCCCAGGCAGGGCACATGCCTGGGTTTCGGGCCAGGTTCCTGGTAGGGGGCATGCCAGAGGCAACCACACTTTGATGTTTCTCTCCCTGTCTTTCTCCCTCCCATCTCCTCTCTCTAAAAATAAATAAATAAAATCTGAAAGAAAGAAAGAAAGAAAGAAAGAAATCCAAGAGAAGCTTCCAGTCCAGACAAAAGTCAGCAAAAGTAGTAACCCCCTACTGACTGCTCATCTCACCAAAGCTGCCTCTGATTAAGGAGGCCATGCTTCAACCCACCCCCACGTCTAAGAGCCCCACTACTCTGCTGAGAAGAAACGACTTCAACACCATGCTAGAATGAGGAAGCTCGAAAGTCTAAATGACTAAACATTTAAGTGGCCTCCTTAACCTGATGCCTGTACCCCAGTTATGGCACATTATGCAAAGCAGACTATTTCTGTATTACCCTGCATTATGTATTATCAGCCCTGCTATCTGGTCAGCAACTTGTCTGCTTTAACTTTGCATTACCACAGCATCTGGCATCAAGTAAGGGCTCAATAAATGGTACCAATTATCATTATGATGATAAAGCTAGTAGCTGAGCCTACTAGGAGCCAGGCATCCTGGCCCCCAGGATAGTGCCCTCTTCCCTGCACCAACCACCCTCTGACCCAGCGAGCTACCAGGAACAGGTTCTTCAGCTTGGGAAGGTTGAGCCCCATTGTGCTTTCCAGTTGGTTCCCTCGAAGCTCCAGTGTGTGTAAGCTGATCAGTTTTTGGGGGTCCAGGCCTGTCACCGTTTGGATGTGGTTCCCTGAGGAGCAGGAGGGTGTCAAGAGCTCAAAGCCCACTCCAAAATGTTCAGCAGCAGAGCCTCCATTTTGGGAGACTCTACATCCTTCTTTCCCTCTAATGTTGGGTAGATATGAGGAGAGACAGGTCCAGGTTTAACACCTTCCTCAAGTCTTTGCTCAATTATCAGCTTTTCAACAATGCTTGTCCTAACCAACCTGTTTGAAATTGCCACCTGTGCCCACCCACTCATTTCTTTTACCCTGATCTATTTTCTCCGTGGCACATATCTCCTTTCGACTCAGTGTATAAATTTACTTACTGTGTTTATCGTGTTCATTGTCTGTCTCCCCACCTAGATTGTACGCTGCATGACAATAGGGGCTACTTATTTGTTCACTGTTTTCTCTCCATTAGAGACAACTGCCATAACGAATCACAATATGTCCGAATGAATAAATGAATGAATGCAAATTGCTGTGTGGCACAGCCGAGGACCACATTGCCCACCCCTGTTGGCCCCAGGCTAGGAAGGAAAGAATCTGTGTAGCCCATCCTAAGGACCTACCTTTGAGATTCAGGATGCCCAGAAGAGGATGAGAGATGCCCTCAGTGTCCGTGATCTGATTATAGGCAAAACTGGCAATCTGCAGGTAGGGCAGTTCATTCAGCTGGGCACTCCGAAGCCGGTTGCCATCAGCCTTGAGCCAGAGCAGGTGGGTGAGGTGATTGAGTGGAGACAAGTCTGTCAGATGGTTCTCAGAAATATCCACATAACGCAGATGGATGTAGTAACGCAGCAAAGAGATGTCTGTCAGATCTCTAGCAGATGGCAGGGGCCAAGGTTAAGGTAAGAATCCAGCAAGGGCTGGCAGAGGTGCTAAAGCAGAGGGCAACATGGAGATGGCTTATAATGGGGAGAGGAATGAGTGACGGATGGGAGAGGTGAAGGGAGAAGAGAAGGTAGGTGGGTTCTTAATAGCGGGCAAGGATCTTGTGTCTGTGAAGGGCTGAGACCTTACATTCTGAAGGACAAGCGAGAGAGTCCAGTAGGAGCCCCACATGCCCTCTCACAGCCTCCAGTCCCCCGGGCAGCGCTGACACAGGGAGAGTCAGAGCTCCTAAAAAGTAAATTCTGTCCTTCCCTCCCACTGGGCCAGGATGAGAGCGATCCAGACTCTCAGCCAAAACACCCAGGAATGAGGATGAGAAGGAAGAATGGGCCCTACAACCTCAGTGCTCTTCTGCACCACACCCCCAAACGCACCTGTCTTTAACCTCCAGCTTGACATAAGCATGGGCCAGTCCATTTCCAGTCTTACAGAGCAAAGAAAGCCCTTCCTTCATCATGTCCTCCGTGAGGGGGTTGAGAATCCACTGCTGGAGGAAGCAGAGTCAGGCATCCCTTCCCAGCCCAACCCTGTGCTTAGCCCCAGGACCCCTCGCTTCCAAGCTCTCACTTCCTCGGAGCCGCCTTCCTCCTCTTTCCTGTCATCCTCCCACTCCTCTGTCTCCTTCTCGTCTTCTTCCCTTCCCAGATCTTCCTGGTCTGGCTCGAAATCTTCCAGATCCTCTTCATCTGACATCTCTCTTCCCTGCTGAAGGCTCTGGAGTTTGATCAAGCCAGGTCCTGGTCCCGAGAAAAAGGTCTCCTCAAAGTCTGCCCACCGTCAACCCCCTCACCTCCATTGATGGGGACGGCAGTATTACCCATCACCTCTCCCCTCTTTCCCGGCTATGCTTCTTTCCTCATCCCTATGAACATCTCGTTTTGATTCCCAGCCTCCATATTTCCCACCAAGGAGCCCTCTCTCAGGATGCCTTTCCAGGCCCCTGAGACCCAACTCTCCTTCAGCAGCTCATCTCCCTGTTTCCCGGATGGCCCTGCCCAGTTCTTCCCACCTCTCTTACCGCCCCCTCCCCTTGCTTTGCATTCCTAACCCCAGCCCCTGCATTTCTTCTAACTCTCCCATCCTGCTTTGCCCCGTTTGCTTGGCCCCTCGGGGACGGGGACACCAGCCCTCTGCAGTCTCCAATCCTCCCACCCAATCCTCCTTCGCAGAAGGGCGCAGACTCTGGTTCTGTTCAATTACAAGCAATTCTGGAGAGGGTCCTGGCCCTGAGAGGGCAGGGTTGTTGTGCAAGAGGGGGAAGAGGGAAGAGGCGTCGTGTGCTGTGGTTATGGCAACGGAGGGGCGGGGCACTGGCCGTCCGCAGTGGGCGACCGTTGGGAGAAGAGCCCCGGCTAACTGACCTGGCTCAGTGGTTGACAGATTGCAAATTCATTCTCTCAAACCCAGGAACCCGGGTGAGGGATTGGCCAAGGGCCTAAGACAGGGGGCGGGGCTTAGAACAGAGCGGAGGGTAGGGGTGGGGGCGGGGCTGTCCGTTACCTGAGACCTTAAAGGGGCCGGACTTCCCCAATGCAAAGCGCTGTGAATGCAAAGGAAACTCATCCCCTGAAGCAACAGGCGGGGAAAGAGGAGCAAAAATACCAAGGCAAGTGGACTGATTCCGGGCTTCCCTCCTACCTAACCTCCCCCACCCCACCCCGCCCCGCACACAAACACCGGGCCTGGCCTTTCGTTATTTTCAGATACAGCTTTGGAATGGAAGAAGCCCAAGCCCAAAACGACCTGAGTTGGAGTCCTGGCAAATCTGTAGTTTACTAGCAACTTACCTAAGACTCCACTTTCTCATTTGTAAAAGAGGCTTAACTACACCAACTGCCAGGGATAGAGTATGAGCCTAATCTATGCTAAAGCACTGTACGGATTACTAAACCAGTTTGGGAGCATTTCACTCCTCCTCATGTCCTGCACTGGTTTGATGCAAAACTTTTGGGGAGAAAATCCTACATGTGCCCACTAAAATGCTCTTCGAACAGCAGTTAAGCACTGATATAGCCAAACCCAGGCACTCTGGCTTGTGACTTGTTGAAGGAGACAAAAATAGAGAGGTTGAGATGCAACTAATATTTTGTGCTAGACATGGTGTGAGATACCTTTACAAGTGATATTTAATCTGCACACCTGTGAGATAGATAGTATTTGAAAGAAGAGGAAACTAAGACCCAGGGTGGTTAATGTTTATGACACAATTCCAGCCTAGGGAAAGGAGATTACCAATCTTGTGGAATCTAATATAAATGAAACAATTTTGCAACAAGGTGAGATATCATGTGACTAATTGTGAAATAGTGTGTTACAAAGTGGTCCAATGGAAGGTGTGGTGGGCTGGAAATCAGGAAATATCACCTCCCGGCCTGACTAGCTTGGGTAATATAGTTAACAGACAAATATGTTTTAACACACTTTTGTTAAACACTCTGTGCCAGGCGGTGCCAGCTGGGCTCTCAAGGACTGTAAAACACAGTCCCTGTTCTCAGGGACCTTACAGTCCAGTGACAGGGTTAAGTAAACAGGTAATTCAGTATAATGAGTGGTCATAATAATGCCACCCAACACTTACAGAGCTTTTACTTAGTGCCAGGGGGTAATTTCATTGTGCATAGGTATATTTAATATCATATATTCAGCTCACTGAATCCAGAGGAAGCACCTTTGGTAAGGCCTGGAGGAGAAAAAGCTCAGTGGCTGTGCAAGGAAAGCAGGCAGTTCCGCTGGCTGGAACCTTAGGTAGGTGTACGTAGTGGGGTGAGGCAAGATCAGCAAACAGAGTTGGATCACACTAAAGAATGTGGACTTGATCCTGAAAGCTGTGAGGAGCCATTGGAGTTATTTTGTGTTTTGTTGAAGGACTGAATCTGCAATGTATAATAAGAGTAGATACTCTATCCTCCTTGATAACATCCTTCCCTCCGTAACTGTTCTAAATGGTATCTCCTTTGATTATAAAAGTAATAATTAAAATAAAATAATAGAGAAGTATATAAGAGGAACATAAAAGTCTATGATCTCCCTCAGCACCACTCTCATTTTTTGATAAAGTTAATTTATTAATGAAGATGTTTAAAAAACACAAATGTATCAATCATACATACTGTTCATCAACTGGGTTATTGTCATTTAAAGATATGTTTTGTGCCCTCACTGGTATGTCTCAGTAGATTGAGTGCTGGCCTGCAAACCAAAAGGTCACCAGTTTGATTCTCAGTCTGGACGCATGCTGGTTGGGGACATACGAGAGGCAACTGATCAATGTTTCTCTCCCTCTCTTCCTCCCTCCCTTCCCCTCTAAAAAATAAACAAACTATGGATTAAAAAATCTATAAAAATACATTTTGGACATCTCTCATATCACTAAACATAGATCCACCTCTTTCTGTTTGATAGTTGTCTAATCTTCCATTATGTGGATATGTGGTAATTATTAAAGTGTTCCTTATTGATGGATATTAACTTTAAAAATTGTCCACATTATAAACAGTGCTGCATCAAAAGTCCTCATAGATATATCCTTACTATTCTGCATAAGTCCTCTGTACAAGTACTTCTGAAATTGTCACATGCATAGGAATTGCCTGAGGATCAGATTAAAACGAAGCTCCTGACCCCGTGAGTGATGCCAACACTGCTGGTCCACAGACCACACTCTAAGTAGCATGGTTCTGTGGGATCGCGTCTTAGAAGGTGCAGTTTCTAGTTCCAGGATACATGCTTACCTTTGCCAATCATGATAGGTTGAAAAATAGGTATGTCATTATTTTAATTTGCATTTTTATTGTTGGTGATGTGGTTTGTTTTTGTGCATCCATGTACTTGTATTTGTTTTATTTTACAAATTGTCTTTTCATATTCTTTCTCATGTTCCTGCTATGTCATTAAGTTTTAAAATTGGCCCTGGCTAGTGTGGATCAGTGGATTGAGTGTTGGATTGTGAACCAAAGGGTCACCAGTTCAATTCCCAGTCAGGACACATGCCTGGGTTGTGGACCAGGTCCCCAGTGGGGAGCAGGTGAGAGGCAAACACACATGGATGTTTTTCTCCCTCTCTTTCTCCCTCCCTTCCCCTCTCTCTAAAAATAAATAAATAAAATCTTTAAAAACTAATAAAATTGATTTGGAGAAGCTCCTTTTGATTTGGATATTAACTGTGGCAGAGACTGCCACCTGCCTATCTAACATTCATTCTTCCCTTTTTTCTCCCTAAGAGAATAGTTTTTTAAAAGTTTTATTAACATTTAATGTACCATAAAATTCATCCACTTAGAATGTACAATGCAATGGCTTTTAGTATGTTCATAGTTGCGCAACCATCACTACAATGAAATTTAGAACATTTTCATCACCCCTAAAAGAAGCCCTCTACCTTTTAGCCACGTGCATCTCAATCCTCCCTTCCACTCCTGCCCCTGGCCACCACTAATCCCCTTTCTGTCTTTACAAATGTGCCAATTCTGTACACTTTACGTAAATGAAACCATACAATGGGTGGGGCTTTATAACTGGCTTCCTACTCTTGGCATCATGTTTTTAAGGTCCATCCATGTTGTAGTCCATATCAGTACTCCATCTCTTTTAATTGCTCAACAATATTTCATTGTATGGTTTTTAATCTTAAATTCATCTGAAATTATGTTTGTGTATAGTGTGAGATAGGGATCTAACATTTTGCCAAAAGAAAGCTGATTTTCTCAGCACCATTTGTCCATTAATCCCATTTTTTCCTTCTGATTTAAAATGCCATCTTTATCACTATATATATATATAGTTTCTGAACTATTATTTTCCATTGGTATGTCTGGATATTTCTGCATTAGTGCCACATTGTCTTAGCTATTGGTTTTTCTGGATATGTCATGTATCCTGCTACCTTATTAGTTCTAATAATAGAGTAGATAGTCCATTTATTAGACAGAGAGAAGTGGAGGAGTTCAATAAAACTTAAGAAACTAAGTTCCTAAAATATACCAGGGGAGGCCCCTCAAAACCCCAGAATTTAATTATAAAGAGCTGTGTACTTATTCATACATGTTTAAATGTCAGTCACCTTCAAAATACTCTCCATTTGATGCACTACATGTATCGAAACGTTTTTCCACTGCTCAAAATGGTTTTTGAACTTGTCAATTTTGATGCCTTTAGTGCTGCTGGAGTCTTTTGTTTCACCTCTTCCACAGTGGCAAATGTTTCCCTTTGAGGACTTTTTCATATGGAAACAAAAAAGAAGTCGCTCAGGGGAGATCTGAAGAATGGGGAGGGTGGAGCATGGGGGTCGTGCCATTTTTCGGTCAAAAATGTGTGATGTTGGTAGGTGCGCTCATAAATCACCAATCATGAAATGGGCAGACATGTTTAGTCTTCAAAAAAACTTCACTGAAGCTGAACACAGCCTCTCATAACAACGTCAGCTGGCACACTGGTACAGATGGGTTCCTAGAACACTCACCTAGTGGGGAAGCCTATACTACAAGTGGCATGCCCTTCAGAAGATAATTACAGGTTTTTTGGGGTGCCCCCTCATATAAAAAATGCAGATTAAATAGATATATGGTATAGGATTCATCGAAGGTGGGAGAACCTTGAAGCAGAAAGAATGAGAAGCTGAGGATGATAAGGGCCTGAAGTAAGAAGATGGCACGGAAAGGAAATTTCAACAGGGCTCAGTAACTGAAAAGACACAGGGCGTGGAGAAGAGGAATATAGTCAGGGTTTGGCTGAATCTAGGATTCCTGGAAAAATAGCATTGGCAGTGAAAAGCAGTGGAGAGGTTTGAACCTGGAGCTGCAGAAGGTGATCACTTTCTCTGAGACTTGCTGAGATTGCAGTGGTAGTAGAACATCCACATGGAAACAGGGAGCTAGAGCTGAGTCTCAGGATGGCTGACCCTTTTGCTCAACTATCCTTCCCAGGACGGCAGTCCTCAGAACTGCCTTCTCCCATGTCTGGGTTTCCCCACTGTCGTGCCATGCTGCAGGTAGCACTCAGGGACCCAGCTGAAACCAGTCGTATTCAGACAGAGCTCCTTTTTTGCTACTTTCTCATAAGAGCAAGGAAGCTTCTTTCCCAGAATTCCCTGCTACCCCAGGATTTTCTTTTATGTGAAATAATAAATGTCCTTAAATACCATTTGGTCAGAGTTTCTGTGACTCAATGGAAAGCATTTCGATAACACCTGTATTTTCGTTGTATCTCTATCATCCATAGTTTGCAACATTTTTCAACAAAAGATGTGTGTGTGCACGGGTTTCTCATTTTTCACATTCAGATTATACTCCAAAGATTAAATGACATCTATAGCTGTGACGTGGTGGTAAATGTTTAACAGGCTCTCCAGGGAGAAATAAAGCCCTAATTTTTAGTATTTGCTTATTTC